CCTTGTAGACCCGAGGGTTTTTTCGCTAACAAGCATGGAAATGGGACTGAAATAGCATGTAGGATGATTCCAAATCATCAAAACAATGCAAAGATGGCATGCTACACATGCACATACTCAAGGCCAACAAGCCCAAATACAAAGGAGCTATATAATGCATGCTAAAATCAACCCAAATACTTATGGACAGAGCTAAAACATGGCAAAATAAGCACATAATCTTCACAAATACAAGCCTAAAACATGCTCCAACAACGGCTAACAACCTAGAACATGTTAAGGCACAAATAAGGCATTACATGGCAACTATGCTAAACATGCATAAGGTTCCAAAACCAACTTGAAATCATGTTATATTATGGATATATAAGCATGAAAAACAAACCAAACATGCTCAACACACACTCAAGCATAGGCTTCCTTAAGAGGCCAAAATATGTCCTTTTCAAGGACAACAAGGAGAGGGGGTGGCCCTCTCCTTCTTGGGACTTCAAGGCATCATCTTCACCACTGAAATCCCTCAAGATTTCAGTGGTGAAGAGACCCCAACACCAAAATCCCGGAGCTAATACAAAGTGGCACAAAAAGAGGCCTTTCAAGGCCTAAGGGGGGTCAACCACCCTCAAACAACAAAACACTCTTAATAAACAATAAAGAGGGCCTAAAAACAGAATTTTTTTATGTTATACAACAAGTACAAAAACAGCTCTAAGATAGGTATAAAATCAATGCAAAAATGGGGAAAAAAAGGACTAGAATCTCACCCTTGATGCCTTCTTCAACAAAGATGCTCCAATGGCCTCCTTTAGCTTGAATCCAACACCAAAACCTCAAAACAAACCCTTTAGAACCTCAGCTCCAAGAGGAAGGTGAAACACTAGGTGCTTGTGTGCAATAGTATGGACTAAAACACACACAAGAGCACAAAAGAGAGAGAAAGAGAGATAGAGTGTGTATCTAACCCTAACCCTAGAAAAACCAGAGCTTGGTCTGTGTTTTCCCCTCCCTAAAATGTCTAAAATCTCCAACCTTTGCAACAAGAGAGAGAGCCCCTCTATATAGAAGCTTTTGTCTTGTAAAGCTTACAAGACAAGCTTCATAAGAGTGAGATCCCTCCATACACGTGTATGGAGGGATGCAAAAGCAATACAGCTGTCTAAAAATATCTGCAAAAGCAGATGAACAGCAATCGGCCGGCCAAAAATGCCATCTTGGCCAAAAAGAGTGCCGGCCGGCACTAAAAAGTGCTGACCGGCAACAAACAGTGCCGGCCGGCAATGTACATTGCCGGTGGAAGCAAAAACCAGCCGGTGGCCTCTAGCCAGTGCCGGTGGTGGGTGGGGATGGTCTACAAGCCCTACCCTGCCTCTCAAAGGCAAGATGCAAGTGTTTGGTGCAAAACCAGACACTAAACGGTCAAGTTCGGGGATCCTGAGGCGAGGCGCGCGAGCCAAGACCTCCGGGAACTCCAAACAAACACAAACATGGATAATCACCGAGTGTTCCAACGGTGACGTCCAAGTCTTGAGGACGGTCAAAAATGGGGTGCCTACAATATCTATTTGTTATTTAATACTGAGGACAAAACATTAATAGTAACAAAAAATAAAATAAAATAAAAATTGTGTAATTGATGCAATGTTTGGGATGTTATATTTTTTATTAAAAAGTCAAAAAACTAAAGAGTGCTAAAATGTGTTTGGCATGTATAAAAAAAAAATAAAAAATAAAAAAAGTTAATTACAAAAATAACCCCAAGGTTTTATGCGTTTTTTATTTTAAATCCCATTGTTTCAATTTCAACAACTTAAGCCCTGAAGTTCCATCTATATTTCAATTTGCCCTCTCTGCCCATCTCTGTCTGTGTAAGATAACAGAGGGGGTTTAAAGTTAAAAAAAAGTGAATCTTGGAGTTTATTTTATAATTAACTCTTTTTTAATTTTTAGTGATTTTAATTTTTAAAAATGGTTAATTACACAAAAAGCCAAAGGTTTCACTCATTTTTCACTTTAAACTCTAGTTTTTTTACTTTAAACCCCCTCCGTTACCTTACGCAGACGAAGATAGAAGGAATGGACAAATTGAAACACGGATGGAACTCTAGAGTTTAATTTGTCAAAATTGAAAGACTGGGGTTTGAAGTGAAAAATGCGTCAAACCTTGGGTTTTTTGTTTTTGTAATTAACCCAAAAAAAAGTTTGAAAATCTTTGTCCCAGTTTCAAAAGACCAAACAATTCTTGTAAGTAAGTGCATAGGTATTTAAACATTTGAAAAGGTAAAACGGAAAATTTAAGTAACAAACAAAAATATTTGCATTTCCCATATAATTTAAAAATTCATTCCTAAATATATTAATTTTTTTTATCTCTTAAAAATCCTGAAATCCACTTGAAAAGCTAATTTGAAACATTCTTTTTTGTTAAAAAAAACAGTTTTATTTTTTGTTTTTTAAAATTATTTTTAATTAATTTAAAAATAAATTTATCAATCATTGTTTAATCCTATGCATAGCATAGACGATATGCTAGTAACTAAATAACTCAAAATTATAACTGTACATATGGTATACACCTCAAAAAAGAGTGTGTATTATGAAATTTCTCAAATCTTCTTTGAATATATATCAAATGCGAACCAAACTAAATAACAAAGAGGAGTAGGGAATCATACCTTTAAAGTCGTTACCACCAAAATATAATCTTTGAAGCAAAGTCAAATTCCCAATTGCCTTTGGAACGAAACCACTGAATTTGTTAAGAGATAATGATATGATTTGTAGCTCTCTGCATTCACCCAGAGTTAATGGAATTTGGCCATCAATCTCATTCCAAGAAAGATAGATAAATTTCAATTTCGGAACAAAAATACACAAATCCTTCGGAAGAATTCCAGACAGCATATTAGATGAGAAATCGATCAATTCAAGTGATGAGATGTTGAAGATGGTTGGTATAGATCCCGAAAAATGATTAAATCCCATGAATAATTTCTTTAGTTTAGGAAGATAACCGATCTCTTCAGGAACTCTTCCCTCCATAAAATTGTACCTTAAATCGAGAGACTCTAATGTTGATATGTTGCCAATGGAAGCTGGAACCAAACCCGTGAAACTGTTGTTTCTGAGATGCAAGTACTGAAGTTCGGGTAAGTTTCCAAACCATGCCGGAACACCCCCGCCGAAATTGTTAATTCCAAAGTCAACAAATTTTAGGCGATGCAATCTAGCCATCTCACTGGGAAGATGATCATGGAAAGTGTTGTTCGTAATGTTGAAGTATGATAGAAATGAGAGGTTTCCTATGTGGGGTGGGATGGTGCCTCCAATACCCATGTCAGGGAGATTCAAGGCTGTCACTCTGCGGTGGCGCTTGCTGCAAGAGACACCAATCCAGTCGCAGACTGAGGTGGCTGAGGACCAGTTATTTACCAACCTGTGGTAAGGATGGTCTAAAGAGATATGGGATTTGAAGGCTAAAAGAGCAGATTGATCAGTGGTGGAATTGGGACCATTCATAGCCAGGCAGACTAAGAAACATTGTACCAAGGACACTGCAGTTAAATAGAGGAACCAAGTTTTCTCCATGAAGATAGCTTAGATATGGAAACAAGAGTGATTGTGAGTTTACGGTTTGTGTAAGAGAAACAGCAAACGAATATAAATTCAGACCACTAATTAGTAGTTGCACTAGGGATGTGGCAGTTGGTCACATATGTTTTGTATCTTAGTTTTTGTTTTTTACTTGTCATATCATTAGTGGTGGTGTTAATGGTAGAAATTTAGTGGTCTGTAGCATCGTTGTAAATTTATATAGATATCATGCAAAATAATGTTGTTTCTTGTCCGCTTTTTACAAATTCAAATTTGACTCATAATTTTAATAGAATTTTTTAAAATATTAAGAATTGAAATATCTTTTGTGTATTAGAGATCAAATTGATCTAATTTAAATAATAAAAACCAAATTGAAATAATTTTATATATTGAGAATCAAATTGATACAAATTTAAACACTAAGGACCAATGATACAAATCTCATACTTGGAGAACTAAAATCTAATTAACCTAAAATTATGTTTACAAATTATTTTCCTTTGAGTAATACTATAATTATTATATTTAGAAAATATATATGATCTAACAATGAGATGACATTATTTATGTAGTGTTATTAATTAATAAAAAATTGATTAAGTCATCCACTTTGTAATCACCATCTGCCATGTTACACAGGCCCCGTTTGTTTTGGGAGATAGAATAGAGGGGATTGATAGTGAGGGGATTAATAGTGACGAATTGTTAAATTATTTTTATATAAAATAATAAAACAAATAAAAAAATATAAAAATTAAACATTAATATTTTAAAAAAATTCTCAATATATAAAAAATAAAAAAATTTCTAATCCCCTCACTATTTTTCTAATACCATCTCTACCTCTTCCTTACCAATCCCCCTTCCTCCTCCTTACTAGTCCCAAAGGATCACTAGTCCCTCCCTATCTCTCAAAATAAACACCCCATTATCAATCCCCTCCTCACTATCAAACCCAATCCCCTCCCTATAACCCCAAACAAATGGAATTGGAGTGATTGCTGTGTGGAGCACAACAATGGTTGTGCAGTGAATTTAGTTTATTTTGATAATTTAAATCGTTCATATTTTAAAATATATTGAATAGAATATACGTGCAAAACTTAAGTTGATCTAACATCGATAATCCTTTCATCTAATTGCATTTGTATTTAGTTTTATACTTTAAAGCCGATTTAACATTCATTTTTTTTTTAAATACAAATGCATTTAGATGAAAAGGTTATTGATGTTCGATTAATTTAATTTTTTACAAACATATTTTACTCAATATATCTTAAAATGTGAACAATTCAGATTATCAAATTAAACTCCAAATGCACCCAATTCGCTGCAAATGTTGTGTCCCAAACAACAGCCACTCCAATCCGTTATATCATATGACCGCACTAATGTATTTCACTAATTCTTTCCTTCCTAGAAAAATCTTAATGGAGGAGAAAATGAAATTTCCATGACTGCACCAATCACATCTTATGGGCTTTATCTTTTTATTTAAAAAACAGAAACACTATATTTTAATGTAGTTTTTATTTTTATTTTTATTATAAATATAATGCAGTAAAAGAGACAAGTGACTTATTTTCTTTTGTTTTTTTTTTTTTTTTGTTTTAGAAACTTGGTGCTCCAACAGGGCCCAATGGGCCATCATCAAGAAAGCGATTGTCTTGCGGAAAGAATTTCACTTTCTATAGGAGTGAAACTCGAGTGGACACAGACCGGTTAAATGTTTATCTTTAAGCGTGGTTTGAATTATGTTGAGAGTTGGCAAGTTTGACTTACAGTCCAAAATTGCCGAGTCGTGACGGAGTGAGGCATGAATTACATGAGTTGTCCAAATTTCACACACACACACATATATATAAGATAAACTAGCGGTAACCCGTGCGATGCACGAAAAAATAGACTATATATATTTTGTGTGATAAATAAATCATCTTAATCTTAAATTATATCTTAATAGACAAGCCATAATATTAAGTCATCTAGGTAGATGTTAACAATAATTAACCCACAAAATTTTACAATAAAATATGATATGCATAAGAAATTATTAATTTTAAAATTGTTGAGAATAATAGTATCACAATCACCTGATAACATAAATAACTTGTATCAAACTAATCAAAACATTAAAAGAGATAAATTCTATAAGCTCAGAAAAGTTATCATAAATTTACTTGGGCTTTTAAATCAGTGGTGTATATTATTATTGTGGGATCAAATTATGGATAAATATCAACTTTTAATTATAATTTATAAGTAGTTTTTAAAAAAATTTAATCTAAGTTTGTTGCCTTGCTTATAAAAGAATTTCTCAAACAAATCATTAATTGATTATATTATCAACTCTCTATCTTTGATTTCCTCTATCAATGACACACTCATATCATATCAAAGTATAAATCATTCTCCATAGTTTGAATAATACTTGCATAGTTCCTACGTCATTTTAAAAAAATTAATCAAGATAAGAATGCCATAGCATTATAAAAATTATATAAGAGAATAGTTTTAATCCATTTTATTTATAAAAAAATGATAAAAAAATATTTGAATTGTACTTGAAAAAATATAACAAATGATAGCTTTAATTATTATATACCCAAAAAAAAATTATATCGGTTACTCAACAAAAAAATGGTCAAATACAAATAGAGTCATGAACATTGAATTAAATCATATGGGTTCTAAATTGATAGTATAATCGAGCAAATCAACTAATAATAACATAGAGATATTGACAAATATGTAGTACTTCCCTATCATCTTTGTATTATATTCATTAATTTCATATATTATATGAAAGTTTTATTCGTCTCGATCCTTCAATAAAATAAGGACCAAGAAAACAAATTTGATAAGAAATTTATTCTAAACTTAATTATTGAAAAAACAAAAATTTCAAAGAGAGAATTTAGAGATGGGATTGAAGAAATATTATAACGAATGACAGCCTTATAAAAAAAAATTTTAAAAATACATAACAATGATCTAATGCAAATTATTTTTAATCACTAATAGAAGGAATCTCAAATTATTACCTTTTATAAATAAGTCTTAAGTTCTTGAAAAGATTTCTCACAAGTCTCGTTACACACATATTTGATACATTTTCTGGCCAACCTCGTTAACGGTGCAATTGATCTAGAGAAGTCCCTCACAAAATGGCGGTAATACCTGGCTAACCCCAAAAAACTTCAGATTTCAAAAGCATTCTTAGGCCATTCCCAATCATGCACGACATCTATCTTTGAGGAATCAACAGTTACTCCTTCTCCGGACACAACATGCCCCAAAAATTTCACCTTTGATAGCCAAAACTCACACTTCATCAATTATTTAATCTTTATCTTTATTTGTGGGCCATGAAATTAATTTTTATAAGTTATTTATCAACTTTTATTTGTTTATTTATGGGAAGAAATTTTAAATTATCTATAAGTTATGAAATTAATTTTTTTAAATTAATTGTTTATTTTTTATCTTTATCTGTAGATTATAAAATTAATTTTCAGTTTTTATATGTTTATCTATATGGAGGAATTTTGAAATTCAAATCTTTATCCATAAGTAATGAAATTAATTTTAATTTTAATTAATCAAACAAATAAAAAATGAAGAAAAATAGAAAACATGAAAGGCAATCAAAGAAGGTTGCCACGTAGGAAAGAGAGTGTTTTAAAATTATGAGAATTTAGGAATAAATATTTGGAGACTTTTGACAAAACAACTACATTTGGTTATATATATAGTATAGATTATAGCAGTGATTCCTATAAACTCGAGTGGACTCAGACTGATCAAATGTTTATCTCTAAGCGTGGTTTGAATTATGTTGAGCAGGGCCGGCCCTGGCCTAAGGCCAGTAAGGCCTGTGGCTTAGGTCCCAAAATTTTGACTCAAAATAGGGCTTAAAATTTAGTAAAATGTTATAAGTCCAATGTTTTTTTTTTTTTTTTAAATTTTAGGATCAATTTAAAGGGCCCCAAAATATTTTATTGGGTCCATGTATGATTTAATCCATATTTATTTATAAGTGTAGTTTGACCCATATTTATTAAAATAGAAATATATATTAAGAAAAAAATGTGTTCAGGTCCAAAAAGAACAATACATATAATATATGGGCCCTAATTTTATTTTTTTTACCTTCTTTATCTATTAGATTTTAGTAGAATAAATAATTTTGCCCTAATTTTTTTACTTAGGTCTTTATCAGTTTTAATTGAATAACTTTTTCCTAATTTTTTTGCCCTAATTTTGTTTCATTAATTTGTTTTGTTTATAATTTTAATGGTTATATGTGCAAGTAAATTTTTTTGTGATTACAAACAAATAAAAAAGTTATAACTTATCGTTTTATCCTTAAATTTTTTTTTTTAAATGTAAGAGGGGCTCCCATTTTCGAAATTCGCCTTAGATCCCCTAAATCACAGGATCGGCCATGATGTTGAGAGTTGTCAAGCTTGACTTACAATCCAAAATTGTCAAGTCCTGACCGAGGTAGGCATGAATTATACAAGTTGTCCAAATTTCTCTCTCTCTCTCTCTCTCTCTCTCTCACACACACATGTATGGATAAATTATACCAGTGATCCCTATATTTTATTATTTGTGTTATTTTGGTCCTTACACTTGTTAGGGAAAATAGATGATTTTCCACAAGTAAATCAATCAATGAGAATAAAAACTAATGCGGAAAAATTAAATCAACAGCGACACAAGAATTTTTACGTGGTTCCCTCAATGTGAGGTACGTCCACCGGATCGAAATTCGATTTCACTATCAACCAAACGATTACAAACGAGACATGAATGGTCTTACAAAACCATCCTTAGGTGAATTTTAAATAATCACAAATAATCAAGAGAAAAGACCTCACTAAATAGACAAACCAAAGTCTTCAAAATAAAGTTAAAGAAGACCACAAGTCTGAATCAAAATAGCTTCCACTAACACTACAAAATACAGCCGAAAATGATCTTTGGAATTAATTTCCCAACCACACCACCGAATTAGATCATCAATGTCAGC